GTACAGCTGCATGCTTCCGTTGCTGGGCCTTGTTGAAAACAGCTTCTGCATGTAAATCAGGAAGGATCTCTGCAGCTGCAATCTCCTGGGTGATGCGGACGCCCTTAGACAGTTGAATGTGCATGTGTACTCTGTCAGTTTCTCTCCTGCCCACCCCCTTCACGTGGCCCCGGGTGCTGGCAACCCACGCTATGCTACTGGGAGCCTTCAAGAGGGTTGAAGGTAGTCCTGGCAACGGGACTGTTAGTCCTGGCAACTGCTCCAGAGGGCAAGACTTACTGAGAGTGTCTCTGGCTGTATGTACGTTGCCTTGAATAAAAAGTTAACTTCACTTTTTATTTGCTTCTTCGGCTTACTTGCATCTGACTCCAGCCCTGACATTGTGCTTCTGCATACCAGGTGCTGGAAGGAGTGCGGGGCAGTTCTGCTGCAGTTCTGCTTGTATCTGATTGGCCGCTGTGGATACAGGATGCTGGACTGGATGGGCCACTGGCCTGATCCACCAGGGCTCTCCTTAGGTTCAGTGCATGGAGCCTGAAACTTAACACAGCTTGCCTTTGTTCGCCCTGCGGATGCTGGCTGGTATTAGTTCGCCAACACACGGGTTATATTTTGCAGTAGTCAAGGAGGTGGCGACGGTGAGGGAGACGGCCCTCTCCTGTTGGCCGAACGAGCGCATTTAATTACCTGCTGCTGCTTCAGAGCTCCCTCCCTCCTCCACACCACCCCTAATTTATTTTTCAATCATTTAAAAGTGTCTCCCCTCCCTGGTGCCGTAAACTCTATTTTGACTGTGGCTGCAAGATCCCCTTTGGGCGTCAATCAAATTGTACCGAACTGCCCCCCTCCCGCCTCTCCCCATACGTTGCTGGTTTCTCTCAAAATAAACCTGCCCCTGGCTTTTGACAAGCTCTAATGAAAAACAAATTGTTATATTACTTAAAAAAATAATTTGAAGGAAGCCTGAATTAGTTGTCGAGGTGGGAAAGTTTCGGCTACTTGAAAACAGAGTTTGGGAAGGGTATTTATTTTAAACTGTTTAGGCCGGCATGCTCTCTGGGATAATATACAGGCCTGTTTGTTTCACGGCGCACCTCGCCCGAGACGTGAATCATGCCTTTTTAATCATGTCGTGAGCTTGATTAATTGGAAAGGGTCAAGCGAATGGGACCATTACCAGTTCTGGAGAAGTGGAGTCGCTGCTTGCCTGGCGCACTCAAAACTCTGCTTTAGCAGCGGTGGGATGCACAATTAATCATACAGTAAGTCGCTTGGAAAATGAAAAAGAGCAACTCCTACCCCCCCTTTTTTTAAACACGTAGAAATCGAATGTGCGTTTTCAAAAGGCTGTTCCAGAGCAGGGCTTTTAGAAACAAGATAGGCTGCAGTCCAGTGGTAGATGATTGGCTTGGCATGCAGAAGATCCCAGATTCACTCCTTGGCCTCGCCAGGTAGGGCGGAAAAGACTACCTGAAACACTGGTGAGCTGCTGCCAGTCAGTGTAGACAATAAACCAATGGCCTGACTCAGTATAAAGCAGCTTGCTTTGTTCCTGCGTCTTTGGGGAAAGGCCACAGGGCAATAGAAGAGCATCTGCTTTGCATGCAGAAGGTCCCAGTTTCAATTCCCGACATCTTCAGGTAGCACTGGAAATGTCCCCCACCTGACACCCTGGATAGCTGCTGCCAGTCAGTGCTGACAACACTGAGCTAGATGCACCAATGATCTGACTCTGTATAAGGCAAATTCCTGTAATCTTTTCTTCCTGGGTTTCTTAGGAGTAGGTGGTTGGATGAGGAACCCTCCCAACATTTCTCAGGTGCTTACATTCTAAAAGGGCTTGGCTGTGAGTTAGTAGCTCACTTTTGCTACTGTTTCCTCTGATCTGAGCATCTGTTTTTCCTGAATGGACAAAATAGGTTGACGAAAAGCTGTATTAAGTCCTGTTGACCTGATCAGATGTGTTAGAATGATATGCGTGCAAATTAAGGACCCGATTCAATGAATGCTTTTAATTTGTCTTCTGGTAAAAGCATTGGGCTGTAACCAACTAAGTTCTAATCAGAGTAGACTCAGTGAAGAAAAAAGGGACCTAATTTAATAAAGACCATCAAATTGAACAGGTCTGCTCTGAGTATGCCTAACATTGGAGACAACCAAATATGTCTTCTTAAGAGGAATATGGTAAATACTGGGGTTTTCCCTTTGCAGGAGATTTATACTAATTTGAAAAAAGGGAGGTGTTTATAAGTATCCAAACACGATTAGAGGAAAAAAAAATGTGTTATTTACTTGAAAAGAAACAGTTAGCTGTGTGAAAGAAGCCACCCTTGTTGAATTGGGACTTTGCTTACAGGCTCTTACGTTGCTGCATTCTAATGTTCTTATGAAAATTGCTTGCAATAATGTCTCTATTGGGAAAAAATTCCATTCAGAAATGTATACTGTATATTAAGACAAAGGCACATGAAAATGCTGATAAATTTTAATGAGAACTTAAAAAGCACAAACAGATGCAGAAATTTGGCAGAAGTGTTTAGCAATCAGTCTTTCTTCCCAGGGGAACTCTGGGAATTGTAGCTCTGGGAGGGGAATAGGGGCTTCCTAACAACTCTTACCACCCTCAATAAACTACAGTTCCCAGGATTCTTTGGGGGGGGCATGGCTGTTTAAAGTAGTATCATAGCACCTTAAATATATGGTGCAGATGGTTTGGATGTATTTTTCCCCATATGCTTCCCCCCCGGGGGGGCGGTTGTCAACTTATTCAGTTCATTCAAAGTGCTTTTATTTATTATTACGCACTATCTTGATAATCAGAAAGGCAGCTCACAAATGGATTGGTTGGATCCATAAAAGGAATTGTCTCCAAGAATTGTCTTGGAGATATCCCCCTTTCAAAGAAGGTCCTCTTCATTCAGATTTCAGTTCAGCCCTTTGTTGCCCTTCCTGCCTTGTGTGGAGAGAGAGCCGGAGTGACAGCGTTTTCTCTCCCCCTTGCAAAACACGATACTGGAGAGAGCATCAAAGGTCTGGGCGCACAGGCGTTGCAGGAAAAATGCCTGCCGGAAAACGCTGCTTTCTTCCGGCTGCTCAGAGTAAATGATACCCCGAAGGAGGACCAACTTCAGAGGCTCCATTCCCCGTAGAGCTCTAAAAATAAATCAGGTATATAAACACCTCTTGTCTGAAGTCTGACTGGTCCAGGTGAAATAAGTGTCTGTAACGCAGGCTTCCTGTAGGGCCCGCAGCATCCACAGTGTGGATGCACAACCTCAGCTTGAACCCCACCGTGGGACAGAGATGCGTCGTTAGTATGATATTTAGCAAAATGGAGAGCAACTTGCAGGTGGAACAGAGATTTCAAAGGGCTCACAAGGAAGCACCAAGCCTTTCTGGAAAAGTGTCTGGAAAGGGCATAATATTAATCAGCCTTCACCAACCTGGTGCTCTCCAGATCTCTTGGATTGCAACTTCCATTTGCCGCAGCCCATCCAGCTGATGGGAGTTAAAAACATAACCTTCTGCATACAAAGTGAGCGCTCTCCTGCCTTTCGTTCCTGCATTTTCAGAGCACACGCCCCCCCAAGCAGTAAGAGTATCACATAAGAACATAACAAAATAAAACCCTCCTACATCAGGCCAGTGGCCCACCTAGTCCAGCATCCTGCTCTCAAAGAAGCCAGTCAGATGCCTGTGGGAAACCAGCAAGCAGGACCCCAGCAAAAGAGGACTCTTTCCCCTCCTGTGGTTTCTGGCAACTGGTATTCAGAGCCATTGCTGCCTCCAACTGTGAAGGCAGAGCATAGCCATTGTGGTTAGTAGCCATTGAGAGCCTTTTCCTCTGTGAATTCTTCCAGCCCTCTTTTAACGCCATCCAAGTTCGTGAGCCATTCTTGCCTCTTGTGGGAGCGAGTTCCATAGTTTAACTCTGCACTGCATGGAGAAGCTTTTTTATCTGTCCTGAATTGTCCAACATTCAGCTTCATGGGCTGCCCACGAGTTCTAGTGTTATGAGAGAGAGAGAGAAAACATTTCTCTAGAGGTAATCCAAAACATCTGTAGGGCATCATGTTGGCGAAGCCTGGGAGTTCAACGAATGACATCAATAAATGACTAACTCTTGTTTTCCCCAAACCTGCGTATTGCAAGAGAAACTAAAGAAGCAAGCGTGCCTTGAAAAAGTAGCAACACCTAGCATTTATAGGGCACTTGGAGGTGTTCAAAGCACTCTGCCTTAGTCGCCATCGGGCCAAATGTGCATTTCATAAGGGAGAAAGGCTTCTTTGGGATGGTTGCCTTGGCGGGACAGGGGAACTCTGCCGTTCAAAGAGAACCAACTTTTGTGTTCCACACCATGTTTATCCTCAGCCTTCAAGCTCCACCTGTGATTCCCCCACATGTGTCCTACGCAAGGCTGCAGTAAATTAAAAATGCTGCGGGGAATTGTGCAGAAAACACTTCCTCTTCCTCCTTGGCTGACCTTGCAACATCTGGACTCCGTCCCCCATGGGCCACCGAGCGTTTTGCCCTCAGATTGCTTCTTTAGCATTCCCCTCCTTGTTCTCCCCTCCCCTCTTACTGATCTGCTTCTGCTTTCAGTGTTGCTGGCAGAACCAGGAGAGTCAGGGGTGGGGAGCTTCTGGTCCACTAACATCTTGCTGGGCTCCAGCAGCCAGCAGGGCCAAAGCTCAGGAGCATCAGAACATGAGAAGAGTCCTGCTGGATCAGGCCAATGGCCCACCAAGTCCAGCATCCTGTTCTCACAGTGGCCAGAAAGATTGGGAAACCTGCAAGTACAGAGGCACTCTCTTCTCCCCTGTGCTTTCCAGCAACTGGTATTCAGAAGTATTGCTGCTTCTGACCATGGAGGAAGAGCATAGTCATCATGGCAGCTTCCTATGTTACGGTCTAAGTCATTGCTGTATTCAAGACCGAGACTTACATTGACTGGCAGCTGCTCTCCAGAGTTCCAGGCAGGAGTCTCTCCCAGCCCTGCCTGGAAATGCCATTGGGGAATCGAACATGGGACTTTCTGCATTCAAAGCAGATGCTCTAACCACTGAGCTACAGTCCTTCCCCTTCTCCACAGCCAGTCTGGAAATGCAGTCTACTAGCCTCTTGGCATGCTGACAAAAGGCTGGGAATTTTTGCAGGCTTTTCAACAAGGCTGCAAAGCTAAAGAGCTTTTTCCTAGAACTCTGAAAAGTAGAAAATGTTTTAGCTCTGTCCCGGGACAGGAGCCACACACTGGTTGGTTGTATCTCACAAAGTCCCCCCAGAGCAAATTGATGATGGCATTGGTATGTCGAGATGGGGGCCCTGCACACTGACCGCCCCCCAACTGTCCCATTCCAAGGCCACACTTGGCCGCTGAGCCCGCACCCCGTACGAGACATCCCTACCTCACTGAGGCACCCTGCGGCTGTGATTCCGGGAGGGCTCGATTATGACAGATCTGGCCCTGGAACCGAAAGAGAGGTTGGACGTGTCCCTTGCAGGACGAGGCTTTTACGCACGATGTGAGCTGGGTGCTTTCCAAAACGCACAGGATGTTTGGAGTCTCTGTGATCTGAGGGCATGCTGGTTTAACAGGACAAGATGCCGTCCCCCTTGCAGATGGCTCGAAAATGGTGTCCTTATTTTCTTGTTAAAAAAAAAAAGAGAGAGACAAGTGGGATGGAAGTGTTTTGGGGGCTTGGGGCAAGCACAGAAAGCTTCAGCAAAAGGCAACGGCTCTTTGAGGCTTGTCGTGGATGGTCCTGGGGAATGTTTGTGATGTGTCATTTCTTACTGTCTCCCATCCACAAGATACAGCAGGCTTCGTGCTCAGAATGCACTAGGCTAGATTAACTGAGTCCCTGAATCCATTCGAAAATCTCTGAATGACACCTGAAAGTCATTCTTAGAATTTCTGGGTGAACTGATTGTCAATTAAGCTCCATTTGTGCCACTGTCAGTCAGTGTAGACCAAGGGTGGCTATCCAGAGGCTCTCCAAGCGTTCATAGAATTATAGCATCATAGAGTTGGAAGGAACCCCAAAGGTGATTTAGTCCAACCCCCTGCAATGCAGGAATCTCAGCTAAAGCATCTATGACAAATGGCCATCCAATCTCTGCCTAAAGACCTCTAAGGAAGAAGAGTCCACCACCTCCCAAGGGAGACCATTCCACTGTCAAACAGTTATTGCTATCGGAAAATTCTTCCTGATGTTTAGTGGGAATCTCCTTTCTTGTAACTTGAAGCCATTGGTTCGAATTCTACCCTCCAGAGCACCAGAGCAGGAGAAAACATGTTTGCTCCATCTTCCATGTGACAGCCCTTTAGATATTGGAAGGTGGTTACCATATCACCTCTCAGTCTCCTCTTTACTAGGCTAAACATAACCAGCTCCTTCAACCAGTCCTCATAAGGCTTGGTTTCCTGGTTTGGTGTTATTGGACTACAACTCCCAGCCTCCCCAGAATGCCCAGTGGTCAGGGATGGTGAGAGTCATAGGTCTGGAGGGTGACAGATTTTCCATCCCTGAGATCTGGGATTCTTGTTTGACAAAGTTCAGGAAAAGGCTGCCAAAATCACCAAGTGGACGGAGCCGCTCCCCTGTGAGGAATGGTTGCAGCCCTTGGGACGATTTATTTAGAGAAAAGGTAAAAGGTGACCTTACAGATGCTTATAAAATTATGCATGCCATGGGGAAAGTGGACCATCTCTCATAATGCTAGAACTCATGGTCATTCGAAGAGGCTGAGCATTGGAATATTCAGGACAGATAAAAGAACGTCCTTTGCGCAGCACAGAGTTAAACTGTGGAATTCATTTCCACAAGAAGTAGTGGTGGCCACCATCTTGGATGACTTTTAAAGAGGATTAGACAAGCTCATGGAGGAGGAGGAGACTGCTGATGGCTACTAGTCATGCTGGTGGGGCGAGAGGTCTTGTGTTCGAATCCTACCTGTGGGCTTCCCGTTGGGGCATCTGGTTGATCCCTGTGAGAATGGTGGACAAGATGAGCTATTGGCCTGATCCAGCAGGGCTCTTCTTGTGCTCTTCTGTTCTTATGGCATCTTCAACAGCTGGATGTCTCTGAAACGTGAGGCTTTGGTCCAAGCGATGGCTCTCTTCCCGCTGTCCCGAAGAGCTTGTTTCAATTGCAGTGGGAACGCGGATGCCTCCTGGCTTGTTTCCTGCCCTCAAATCAGTACAGCCTTGCTCCAGAGGGGCCCATTTGAACGCCGGCCGCACTGGGCTGGCCTCCCATCCCTCTGGCACCCGTCTGTAAACATGATGGTTTTGCAGACTCCTCCGGGGTTCCTTTTAGCTGTCAGAACAATTTTGTGCTGCCCAATCGTAGGGAAACCACACAAAACAATGTGTGTCCCGTGTTCTTAGCAGGATGACTCCAGCGGAGGAAAAGCACAAAGAAGCCAAGGTCTTTCATCAGGGGGTGGTTTGCCTTGGAGTCTCCTCGATCTGTCACACCTGGATCTTGTCGTGCGTCTTGCAGATGATTCTTACAATCTTGCAAAAGATTGTTACTTGTCAAATGCATGTATTAAAGGCATGCAGCCCCACCTTTCCCAGTTGGAGATGAACCTGTTGACAGTAAACATAGGGCTAGTAAGGTCCTGTTGGGGGCCAGTGGAAGCTCCCCTTCTGAGATTAATAGCAGGCCCAGTTTATGTGTATAATTTTTACTAGGACTTTTAATGAGTTAAGACTCCCCTCCTTACGCACTGTGCTCCCTGCAAAAATCCCACCCCCTCCAGTTGCACTGCTGGTCCATCTAGCCTAGGGGGTCCCTAACGTGGCACCCTTGGACATAACACTGCCCACAGATCCCACCACCTGTCCCATTTTTAAGAAAACATTTTTGGGCTTTTGGTGGCTTTTCCTGCTATTTTCGGTCAGGCCTCATGTGTTTCTGTCAGGGTGGTGTAGGTGTTTTTTCCTGGGTGTGTTTTTGGGGGGCGGGTAATGTTTCTGAGCATCGTCATTTTTTCATCTGTGAAATGGGCTTTTGGTGGTGCCCACGACACTTCTCTTGGCCCAGGAACGGTTGGGGAACTCTTTATCTTATTTGGTCTGAGTGGCAGAGATTCTCTAGGGGCTAAGAGGCTAGTCTTTCCCAACAGCTGATACCTGAGATTCTTTAATCAGATATGTCAAGATGTCAAGGACTGATGTAGGGACCACCTGCTTGTCAAGGATATGCTCTACCATGGAGCTATACCCACCCCGCTCCCACCTTGAAAAAGATATTCATAGGAACAGCCTTGTGCCAGGTGAGATGCCTTGTCCATCTAAGTCCCTGCTCTTGGCAGTGTGGCTCCTGGATCTTTGGCAGACAGCAGTTTTGGGGCCTTACGATTACCAGAGATGTCAAAATTTGAATGGAGATGCTGAGATAGAACCCTGCATGTATGCTAGGTTCCCTGCCATCACCTCTTCCTTTAACTGTTCCCCCATGACCAGGAGATGCTGAATAGCAGATATGCAAGTATTTATAAATATTCTTACTTTTTCTATAATTCAGAAGCTGGTGTGTGTGTGGAGTTCGTTAATGGAATATATTCAGCTTGGGTTTTCTGTTTTAAACCAACCTTGCAAGAGCCCCCTTGGTTAATTTAAAAATCTTGACTTGTGTAATGTGTTAGTGGAAGAAATGTGCCAAAAAGCATAGTTCCAAACAGGGGGGAAAGCAGGTTACCCCAGATTTTGAAATCTTGGCTCATGGCAATGCCGCACAGCCAGTCCAAGGGAAATATTGCCCTGCAGATGTTGCTGTGGGCCTGGAGTTACTCAAAATTTTATTATGAGTCAAACAAGTAGCCATGGGAAGAAACAGATCGAAGGAGCAGCTTCTTGTTTCCATTCGTGCATCAAATCAGTCAGCAGTGATCCTTCCTTGACTCCTATCTTGTAGATATTACTGCCCAACGCTAAGAGACAAATGAAGCCTGGATCTAAATAGCTTTGGCAGACAGCAGAGATGGAAGGAGTGGCTTGAGAAACAATTGTCATATTTGTTTCCCTCAATTCCTCAGATAAACCTAAAAAGACATCTGGCATCTGGATCAGACCAACGACTCATCTGGCCCAGTAGCCTTGGTGGCATCCAGCTAAGTTCTAGTCATGGTACACCTTTTGAAATGAATGGGCCACAGTTAGATGTGCCTATTTATTCCAGTGGACCAACTCTGAGTAGGACTAACAGTGCACACAACCTTCTGCTCTCACAGTGGTTAACCAGATGCTTCAATGAGAAGGAGACCACAAGCAGGGTCTGAGTGCAACAGCAACTCTCCTCGCTTGCAATTTCCAGGAACTGGTGTTTGGAGGCCATGCGGCAAAAGATGGCCTGTGGTTCAAGGCATGCCCTTGGATTGGGCACCCAGTACCTGCTGGCGTTTTATTGTTTATAAAAATGTAAGGAAAGCCTGCTAGATCAGGCCAATAATACTCAGCACCCTCTTCTTACAATGGCCAACAGGATGCCCATGATGAAAAGCCCCCAAGCAGGACCTGAGTACAGCAGCAACTCTCTCCTAACAGCTGGTATTTTCCAGCAGCTGGTATTCAGAAACCTTGCTGCCTCCAACAGTGGAGGCAGGACATAGCCATCAGGGTCAGTAGTAACTGTGGAGATCCAACGACTCTGAATGTTGGGAGAGTCAGGACAGATAAAAGAAAATACTTCATCACCCAGCACAGAATTAAACTCTGGAATGCCAACAGGAGGCAGTGATGACCACCAACTTGGATGGCTTCAAAATAGGATTAGACAAATTCATGGAGAAGGCTATCAATGGCTATACTCTGCCTCTACATCTGGGGACAGTATGGTTCAGAACACCAGTTGCTGGAAACCACAAGAAGAGAGTTGCTTTTGTGCCCTGGTCCATGTTGTGCGCTTTCCACAGGCATCTGGTTGGCCATTGTGAGAAAAGCATGTTGGACAAGATGGGCCATTGGCCTCATCCAGCAGGACCCAGTTTTTATCCTCCATCAATTTGTCCAATCCCCGTTTAAAGTCATCCCAGTTAGTGGCCATCACTACATCTTTTCACTTTTGCCCAGGA